AGGTGCCGTTTATGTAGACCGCGTGAGATACCGACGACACCCCCCGCCGGTGTGTCTTGTCGACGGCGGCGGCTTTGGCGGGGCGATATCTCCATATTGGGGGAAGGGTTGGTAAAAGAACCGAGTCCAGATCATGCTCTAAACAAGCTGGTTCTAAACGTGCGCCATGGTTTGACGTTGCCACATGTTTTCGACGTGGCGGAGACGTTGGAAGGAGAAAGGCGGGAGTTCCTCAAAGCGGTGGCCACCCAGGCTTGGGGTTGCGCTTTTTTTTTCGCTGTAACCTCACGCTTGTGATTCCGTTGTGCAACCATGCCCCGGGAGTCCGTCCGGTGTACCATGCAGCGCCCCTTCTCTCTTTCTCTCTCTCCGCCCCACACCATCCACCGCTACCGCTACGTTTCGTCACGCAACGAACGAAGGATTTGGCTCCCCGCCTCGATGCTCCCGCCCCCTTGTACATACCTTTCAAGAACGGCCACTTACTGTTTCTGCCGTGCTTGCGTGTTTAGGCGATGCTGTGCGGCACGGGGGCCCCGCCGGCGCTGCTGGGGGTCCTGGGGGTGGGAGATGAGTCGCCGGGGAAGTCGCAACCGTTAGAGGCACCGGAGAGGGAAGGGGAGGGGGGGCTGGCGGAAGGAGTTCCACAGCACGAGGTCGGCGTCACCTCGGCTGAAACTGCCACTCCTGGCGAAGGCGACGAGGTTGTGGGAGACGTGGGAGCGGTAGCGGTGGACACGCCCTCGAGAGACGGAGAGGAGGAGGAGGAGGCGGAGGAGGAGGCGGCGGCGGCTGCCGTTGCCGTGAGAGACATGCCGGAGGACGTGTTGAAGGTGGCGAAGGAGTGCGTGGTGTACGAGGACGTGAGCGGGGTCATCACCGCCGTCTACGCCGCCAGGTACGCAAACCAAACGCCGGCGGCCCGCGGTTGCGGTTGCGCGAATTGTATTGTCTTAAGCGGCAAGAAGGGCGCGCGGCTCTAACTATCGGAGGCTTCGTCCTCCCTGTTGCTGTTGTTGTTGTTGTTTAGAGGGCTACATACAATGCGGAACGGTATGCATATCACAGCTAGATGGAAGGCACTCCCAGTAGGGAAGTAGGAAGGAACGATTGGCCATCGGTGATTGGTCCTGTGGGAACAATGCTCCGTCCTCTCGAGGACGCGCGGTGGGTGGTCTAACCGCTAAGGCATGCAAAACACAAGAGTACGTCGCCCTTCACTCGTCCCGGCACGGCATTGTAGGGATGCGAGGTCTATGGTCTAACGACTACGGCACGCGTTTACATGAGTACCCCCCCCCCCCCCCCCGGTTGAGGGCAATGGGCTAAAGACTGCGGGACGCCCGAATATGAGTTTACCCCCATCCCCCCCCCCGGTTGTCTGAAGACGACCTGGTGTCGCCGCAGGTACGGGACGGAAGCGGCGGGAAAAGTCCCGGGTGTGCCCTTGTGGGTGCGACAGATGGGATCCCTTGCGCGTCTCGCCGGGCGCACGGATGCTGCTGCTGCTGCTGCTGCTGACGCCGGCGGGAGCGGCGACGGCAGTGACCCCCACCCAAAAGACGGAGGACCCTCCACGCTTGCGGGAGGAAAAGGCGGTGCGGCAGCGGCGGCGGCAGCAGAGGGGGGTGGTGCTGACGCGGTGTCGGGGGCGGGCGGCCGTGCCGGTGCCGGTGGCACGGAGGAGGGGGCCCGTGGAATCGACAGCAGTGACGGCCTCCGCGGGGGCGGCGTCAGAAGTTGTTGGCGGACGCCGGCGGCGGGCAACATCGCGGCGCGGGGACATCGCAGAGGAGGGTGTTCCGTGGCGGAAGGCGGTACTGCCGTCCAGGAGGGGCTCCGCAGAGGCGGCGGCTTTTTCCCCGTGTTGGCGGCTAGGTCGCGCCGAGGCGGGCTGGTCGGGAGAGCGGCAGACGTTGCCAGGCGGTTGCGAGGAGGCGGGTGACCCGGGCGGCCCAACCGTCCCTTGTGGTGTGTACGTGCGTTTTGTTGTCGGGAGGGTTTTGTACGAGACTTTTGCGGGGATGGAGGCAAGCACACGCGGGGCAACTCGCCGGTGTTTTGGTTCACGGAGAAGGTGAAGGTGGTGGTTGACTTCTTTGTTGGGGTCACCGGCATGTTAAACCTCTCCGAAGGCTTGTGCGATCGATCGCTGTCAGAAGAGACCACCCCGCAGCCGGTGACGCCGGAGAGTGACGCGACGGAGCCAGCTTCTTTATACGGCGGCGGCGGTGGGACAAACCATACGATACTCCGGCGACGAAATTCAATGTTTCGAAAGAAGGCTTGACGGGGACAAACGTGGTGTTGCGTGTGGTTCCTGTTCTTGGCGGGGGGCGGGGGGGGGGGGGGCGGGTGCCCGTTTTTCCGGTTCTTGTGCGTATGCCTTCCCAATGGGGGGTGCCTGTGTGGGGGCCGCCTGCCCCTTCTTCTTTTTCTTCCCAACTGCCAACTCCCCCCCGGGGTCCGGGGGTCCAAAAAAAAAAAAAAGGGGGGTTTTTTTTTTTCTCCAAAAAAATTCCAGGGTCCCCCGAGTAAAATTCCCCTTTTGCCCAAACCTTAAAAGAAAAAGGCGGCCCAAAAAAAAAAAAAGGGCCTCAAAAACTAACCAAAACCCAAACCCAAAAACCCCAACCAACCAAACCCAAATGGGGCCCAAATTTTG